TCTTTATTTCAGCTGCATTTATTCAGTTACTAATTCACAAAGGTCAGTAATTGACATCGAGTGTCGCAATCATTAATGCAAATTTTGATGTTCTACTGCACACAAGCTTTATTTGAAAGACTTAAATGCAAACACAGTAATAACATCTTACTCTTTTCTAGAAATCAAAAAAAATCTTGTAAATAAATTTGGAACATATTAGTGACAATTTTTATTCTAAATTCCCCTTGCTGTAATGCTGAAGCTGCCACTTTTTCTTAGGTGTATTTAAACCGAACCATACAGCCCCAAAAAAAGCTTAATGTGACATCTACTTCCATAAATATGTATATTTTGGGATGAAATCAAGACAACTCTCAGAATTATTAACTTACTTTTCTGTAGTGAACATGATTAAGGAGTTACAGCAAAAGCCAGTTTAAATTAGATGGCTGAAGTAAATAATATATGAAGCAAAATCTCCTTTGTTTTAGGCAAAGTGGTCTAAACCAGAGGGCTAAGGGCATTCAGCTATTAATAAATACCTAAATTTCATCCAATAATAACCTGCATCAGGGAGATCTACAATTATGGTTTGCAAAGACATTTCAACATCAAGGATCTTTTTACTGCTACTAGATTCTCAAAGGGGACCATCTGGTCAACTCACACGTTTCTACTTAATTTTTCTTGCCTATAGAATGATTCCAATAAATTCTATTTCATCAGAAACTTTAAATCTCTCCATGACAACTGCAGTAACACTTTTGAGTGCTGGAAGAATAACTCTGGATTCCTGTTTTCTTTTTCCAGAAAGCTTTAGTAATGGAAGGGGCATCAATAGGTTTGAGAATACTTACAGCTGAAGAGTACCAGGCTGAAGCAAGCAACTTCTTAAAACCTAACATTTTTTTGCTCATTCTCAGTCCCATTCTAGACATCCTTCCTACCAAATCCATCCTTCTCCATCTGAACACCACTCCACCCCTTCTGAAGATGTTTTTGCTAAAGTCTCTCATTTACTCAGCACATTTGTCAGAAAATGAACATTTTCTCCACTCCATTATCCTGCAGGAGCTCCAGAAGTTCCACATCATCGTTCCCCTTCCCTCCTCCAACTTCTTTAATCTCAGCAGTTCAAAAAAAAAAAAAAAAAAAAAAAAAGAAAAAAAAAAAAAAGAGTAGCCTTTTTCTCTGTTGATGAGTAATTGCCTTGCCTTCCTACTCTACTGCTGCCAACGTATAATAATAAGTACATTATTTTAATAAGTACATTAACTGATACTAGTGTGCTTTGCCACAAGAGCTCCGTAAGGACTGACAGCTTCTTTCAAATGATTGACTCAAATTAAGGCTAAGGTTATTGATGTAGTTATCGTTTTACAGATTTTCAGTATTCATACTTTCATTGAGCACAAGCGAGCCTAGCAAGCCTAAGCAAGCACACCTAGAAGCTCAGACTTGCATACAAGCACAGGTACATCACTTCGTCAGATAGTTCTGTTGTTAAATTTGAGATGCCGCTGCTCTACTTTGCAGGAGTCTTGAGAAACCGAGATCTGTTCGTGCCTGCCAACTTTTGCATGCAAACTAAGCACAAATATGCAAAACCAAAGAAAAAACCCAGAAGATTCTACCTAATGCTGCTAGGTGCTCCGAATTACAGTAGGTCAACCACACAAAGCAAGTTGAGGACAGATCTAACTTCCGCTTAAGTCACTGAAAGGTCAGTTGGCTCCAGGTTCCTCTGAAGACTGGAGAAAAGCACTGGATCTCACTCCAGGCAAAGAAAGGAGATCAAGAAGAAGGGGATACAGCAACTTATTTTTGAGACAATGAGAGAGTACTAATCATAAACAATTGGGAATATCAATCCTTACTAGTATCTACATCTCATATTAATTTACATTGGAAAAAAGTTAAGAACTTCATGCTGAAATTGTGTCCAGCTGAAGGTTAGCAAGTAGTACATCTTCTAGTGATAAAAGGAGTGCTATTACATGTAAAAATTATATTTAAGTACAATGAACTGCCTAGAATGTTCGCATTACTAGTCACAAAACTTCATTAAAACAAACATAAACACACCCACGTGTTATCATAATTTGGAGTAGAAAATACCAGAAAACAGTATTTCTTGGCGTACTATCATTAGTGCTACACAGTCTCCAGTGAAACATTTGTCAAACATACAAAAAGGTATAAAAGTGAAATATAGTAATTAAAACCTGGGTTTTATCGATTGTGTGGCTTAAGTAATTTTTCACAACAAACATAAGATTTAATAAGTATAAGTAGTTAAAGATCCTGACTTGGCTGTAGTCATTAGCATGTAATTGAACTGGTAAAAAAGATCAGTTAAACCTATGTTGATTACCACCTTATCTTTGAAAGGCAATTAAGGACCTCAATCATTGCAACAAGATTTGATTGTGCAGCCTTTATTGGACATTGATCTTTCAGCAAAGCGCAGTTACATTTTCCATTAATTTACAGTAACACAGTTTAACTCAGATACCTGAGACCATTGACCTAGGTAAGATGTAATGCTAAGCACTCGTTTAGGTTGAGATGCCCCCAATAGTCATTACTGTTTAAAAAGACTGCTACAAGAAGTAGCTACCTGATCCTCTGGGTTTAGACTAAGGTTTCATTTACCTGAAGCAGTTGTTAAGTGAGGTGAAACAAAGCTCTCTGCCTTTTTATGTCATCTCTCACTCATTTAAACATCATTCTTGAATACAGTAAAGAGATAATTAAGGCAAGACTTACAAGATAAACTACACTTTATTTCAAATGGAAATGGTGCAGATCAAATCTGTAAAAAGTTAGAAGGGTCATTTTGTAGGTCAATCATCTATAAAAAAATACGTATCAACATTAGTATATGTTGCATACACAACATATGCATAATATAACACATACAAAAAGGAAGCTCCTAATTAAAACAAGTACAAATAAATTATTCCAGACCAGAGGAATTAACAAAGCCTGGTTCCCTACAAGTTGTCTTTCGAAGCAATGGGTTTACAGGACAACCTGAAAGGACCTTACAGGCAAGAGACAGCAGTTAGGTGCTACACATGCAAATAATTCATCTTTGAACAATTAAACTGCTAGAAGCTCATCTTAAAAGTCCACTTCAGCAAAACTCTTTAGTTCAAGCATTCGGACTTCTCCACAACAGAAGACCCTGCTCTCCTTTTAGGAGCTGACTGCCACAAGGGAAGAGTTTGTGCTGATGGGGATTAGAAAGGTAAAGCAGCAAAGGTTCAGCTGAGAACTATACACTGCATGCTCATCCTTGCTTGACATTCCTATCTTCCCCCAAGCCTTACAGAAATTTTTGAGACAAGATGGTATGAATCGTCTTGGATCTTCTTGGCCCTCAACATTTCTCTCTTGCATTCAGGCCAAAGATAAGTGATGAAAAAAGATACTAAGAAATAGGTATTTATAGCAAAAAGAGAATGAAAGCCAGATGAAGTATTTTACCTTTGGTTGAAGACAAGCAAGTAGGTTTATATTCATACTTGAAAATTATTTTTGTCATGATTTAATAACTCAAGTGTTATCCCTTATAAATAGCACATTTTCCCTTTATGTCCTGTAACAGGTCACATACAAGCCTTAACGAAATGAACTTATGATACCGTATTTGCACGCTGCCCTCAAACATCTTCTAGTTCATCCTTTAGCGTGAGCAACTTCATAAGAGCGAGAGGTCTATTGATTTTCATGTAATACAAGAAAATATTACATTTGCCTAATTGTTACACAGTGAGATCATTGAACAAGAAATCAAGTCTCTATTTAATGCTGCAAGCAGCACAGAATTGCAGGAATCAATAGGGTAGTTTGTCAAAGATGTTCTCTAAGGAGACTTGCCCATCACTGTATGGACAAGGAGTCATGTTGCCGGCATTTATTGAAAAACAGGTAAGCAAAGTCAGCAACACACATTATCAGAAATCAAACAAGCTGCAGTGAGTGGAGGTGCAACTCCAATGAAGACCTGTATTTATAGTCTGGTAATTAAAAACCATTTTATCAACCTTGCGTTGAGACTAAACCTTTACAGCAAGATATTGACAAGATCCATGGCAATGAATGAGCAGTATTTGACTTTAAACTTATGAGCTGCAGTTATTTATCCAATACAGTGAAAATCAGTTCTAGAAAAATGCTAAGTCATTATTTTTATTATTAATGAGGCTTCTTATAATACTGTCTCTTCATCTTTGAGACCATTTAACTTGTGTCAAGAATATTCTCCAAAATTAAACAGAACAGTGCAAGCACTTCTCTGATTAAAGTGTTATTTAGTGTTGCTTTTAGAAAAACCACATGTATTGCTTAAGTGGGAAACAGTTCCATTATCTGGAATTAAGTAAAAAAGTATTTAAATGAAATTATACTGTAGTCATAGCTTGATAATAATTTATTTAAGAATAGTGATTACCCTCCAAAAACAGTACCTACATTTATCTTCCTACTTACGAAAACTGGAATAATCAACTTACGTCACCAGACATGGGATTTGGAATAGACAGCATTATTTGCTGGCACTAAAACCAAGCACCAGTAATATAGCCTGTACAGGTGTTTCTGTTGTTTGAACTTACTATCCAATAATTCCATATTTCCACTATCCAAATAATTCCCTAAAAGCTTTTTCTTTGCCCAGGTTTCCAACTGAATTTCCATCATTATATGTGCCTGTTACAGCTGTGCTCAGTTACAGCTGGACAAATCAGTTATTTTGCATCCAAAAAATGATCTTCTCATTCTCCCCTATTAATTAAAAAGATCAGCAATTTGTAAATTAGCACAGGGGACTACATCTTCTAGATTACTTAGGTTTTGTTATGTAACTACAAAGCAACCAAAAGAAAAAAAAATGCAGGTGTCGAGTTCAAGAATTGCAAAAGATAGAAGCATAAAACATATTTTAGATATTTTATTTAAATATCATTTGAAGAAATATGATACAGCCATTTTTAACTTCTTAGGGTGCTAATTTTCCAAAGAGTCTTCCAGGTAATTGTGAATAGTCAGTGCCATGGATTCATTCAAACATGCTTGCAGCTATGACAATTAATGCATTATGAAACATCTAGTCAAGAGTTTAAACCTAAGCAGCTTAATCTTTTCAGAGACATTCTGAAAATGTCTAGTGTGTTCACAGTTTCCTTGCCCACATGCTACAATTCAGTTATCTAAGTTGGTAGATGTATCTCTTTAAATTATCACAAGTTTGTTCAGCAGTACTAGTCACTGACTTCCATAAATTCTAATACCCTTGGAAATATTAATTCTTCTCCTAAGGCTTCTACTTTTTCAACTTTACTGACCTCTGCAAAAATAAACCTCTTATGACCAAAAAGTCCATCAGGCTTCCTGAAGACAGCATGTTAAGTAAAAGAAGGCACTGTAAAAAAAAAAAAAAAAAAAAAAAAAAAAAAAAAGTTGCCTTCAGTTCTTTTTAGTCAAAGGGAGTAGATATTTGTAGCAGCTGTAACACAGAAACCCACCAAATGACAGGTACTTGAGGGCATGATTTCAGTACATTGCGCCTTCATCTTCTTTATTTAGAAAATAAATAGTAACTGGGCCATGACTCGTATGAACAGTCTCTGTGACACTGACAAAGAACCAGGAGCCAATTCCATATAGTAAAGTTGGGATGCCTAAGAAAAGACAAAAACATGTTACATACAAAGATAGCAAGCCAGGAAAATTAAAACCACCTACTAATAGTAAAGAATAATGACTCCAAAAATGAAATTAGAGGAAAAGCATTCCTGTAAAAGCTGCCTTATTAACACTTTGCCTTTAGTGAAATGCTTACAAGCAGCTGTCAGTTCATAATACCACCCTTCTTGTGTATCAAGCACACAAGAATCAGAAAGCAGCTTAAGAAAAGCAGCAATACGAGGGAATTAATAGAAAAAGAAAAGGGGAGGATAGCAGTATGAAAGAAGTGAAACATGGTCATGTCTACAGCCTGATTTCTACCAATTAAAGAAAATACATGTATATAACCAAACACTAAAACACAAAATCCCTGGACATCCACTTAGATATCAGTTCGGAGTTCCTCTATGTACCAGAGTAGAGATAGGAAGGAAAACAAGCAGTGACTTCACACATCAACATGAAGCTGCTCTTGGGAAAATTAGATCAGTAGTCAAGACTACCAACTCCAACAAAACTGGAATGAGTAGAAAGGTGTATATATAAAAAGTGCCATCATTTTAGCACTGCCGAGCTACACATGTATTACAGACAACAATATTTTACTTAATGTAGGGGGAAAAAAATGGAGATGGATTTAGGCCCTGAATTCAGTAAGGTACAGAAACACCAAATTTAACGTGGTTAAAGTTACCCAAGTCCTTAAGCTAGATTCTCAGAAGAGAGAGATGAGTTGACTTTTTAATCATGCTTGCTGATCATTTAAATATGAAACATGCAGGGTGGTTGCCAGAAAGATGGGGAAGATAAAAGGTCTGACTATGCAGAGGGAAAAATAAAATCAGATTTAAAATTGTTATTATTAAGAAATCAATCTCTGTGATGATATTTTCTCACTATGTTAGTTGGAAAGATCAAAAAATAAAGACTAGCAGACACGTTTTGTAAAAAGTCACTGAAGACTTGCAAAGCCAATGAGATTTATTTTTTTTAAATGAAACATGAAAACAAGAAACTGGTGAAATTAGTTACGCGACTGTCACCACTTAAATAAGTGTGGTACCCACATACTAAGTTTTGAATAATAATGTATTTCAAAACTTATTTATATCCATTTTTATATTAATAAGCTACTGATAGAACATTTTTATTTATAAGCATTTTTATTACAGCAGCACTTTAGGATCAAGCATGGTCCAAGCCCTCCGCTACCTTAGACGCTGCCTGTATGCAAGATGCAAAAAATTAGCCCAGGCGCTTTCTAAGAAACACTGTTTTGCTTCATCCAGCGCTCGCGTATTTGCTTAGAGGACAGAATTTCATCCACGGTAACAGAACGCAGATTTTTAGATGGAAAATGATCCATACCAACTGATGTTAGCCATTTAAATAACAAGCGCTGGCGCGTTTGCCTTCAGGCGGTTTAATTTTTCTCTCTCACAACCGGACAGAGAAACACGAACTCGGTAAAACCCCAAAGACTATCGGTTTACAGCTCTGCGTCCTCACAGCTGCTGAAAGCTCGGGCATTTTGCGATTCCCGTTTCCTTACGCCGCCTGCTCCGAGCCGGTGGGGGCGGAGGACGAGGCACCCCAAGCCGATTCCCTCACCTCAGGGGGAGCGGAGCGGGGAGGAGAGGCGGAGTGCTGCCCGCAACCACAGCCCCCCGGCCCGGCCCGGCCCGACTGCAGGGGACGCGGCCCCCACCGGTCAGCCCCGCTTTTACCTCACAACCCCCCTCCGGCGTGTCCCTCATCCCGCGGCCGTCCCTTCCGCGAGGGGCGCAGCCCGCCCGCCGCAAGCGCCTCACTCCACCCGCCGGCTACAGGAGAACGGCAAGAGCCGAGGGGGAGCGCCTCTCCGCCCGCCTCACAGCCGGCGAGGTAAGCTGAGGGGAGGCCGCAGAGCCGGCCCGGGACGCGACTCACCGGCGTTGAGGACCTTGAGGGCGGTGAAGGCGGCGTTCTGCAGCGCCAGGTCCTGCGGGGCGGCGCGGGAGCAGTGGTACTTGATGAAGGGGAAGCAGCCGGTGCGCAGGATGTGGTAGTTGGCGCCGTTCACCCGCCAGTTGAAGTGGGAGAGGCCGAACTGGTCGTTGCGCACGGCGCTGTACTTGACGCAGTACGAGGTCCAGTGGGGCAGGCCGCGCTGCCTTAGGTGCTGGCTCAGCACCTCCGAGGCGGCGGGACGGGACGACGATGACGACCCCCCCCGCCACAGCAGCAGCCCCACGGCCGCCTCATGCAGCCGCCTCAGCGCCCGCATCCCGCGGGGCCGCTTCCCCTCTCCCCTCCCCTCCCCCCCCGCGCCTTCCCGCAGCCACCCCGCACTCACCGGCTCCGGCCGGCGCGCGTGCGCCACCTCGGCGCGTGCGCCAGCCGCCGGAGGGCGGGAAGAGGTGGCGGCGGCGGAGGGGGTACCCCGGCGGCGGCCGTGGGAGCGGGCCCTGCGGTAGACTTTGTCCGTGGAAGCGATGGGGCTGGTCCTCGTCTGTGGGTGGAAGGGAGAGCGGGGCGGTGTGGTGTGTGCGACTCCCTGAGGGGAGGGTTCGGGCAGGGGGAGAGGCGCGAAAGCCCGCGGCGGAGCCCTCCGCGCTGGGGTGAAGTGGGGTGAGGCGAGGCGGGCGCCGGCTGAGGCGGCCGGGGCGGGCGCCGGCTGAGGCGGCCGGGGCAGCCCCACGAAGCGAGGGGAGCGAGTCACCCTGCCCGACACAGGCCGAGAGACGGGCCGGGCGCCCTACAGAAGGGCGCCCGTTAGCGCTCCTTACAGCGAGTGAGGCTATCGCAAAGAATCGGGCAATTACATTTTTGGAAATGTTTTTGTTTAACAGCGTGCGTGCTGACGGGAGCACCCCGTGTGTTGCTGGCACATCTCACAGCTGCAGCATTAACCAGATTAACCTGTGCTCGGGAAAAAAATGTATTAAGCTGCATTGATTTTATTTGGTGAAATTTGATAGTGATACCAGGTAAAAAATAGTTCTTTGAAAGTGTTAGACCCCTTGGAAGAGAAATACTTTAAAATCGTAGCCCATATTCCATGATACGATTTTTCTAAATAAAAGCTAAAGTTTTGAACCATTAAACATTCTATTTGAGAGGAAAAAAAAGACTGTACAGAAGAGTAAACTGAGAAATGGAACAGATTTTTCCTTTTAATAATTGCAAGCAATATCTCAAACTCAGCAATCTTAAACCATTGAGCTATGTAGTATGAATGTGCTAATTAATCAATTACTACCCAACAATGTACCCTGTTTATTTACTGTAATGTACTACATGTGTGTAGAACCAGTAATTATTAATCATAGTCAGTAACAAATTTCATTCAAGTTCACCTTCCTATAATTAATAGAGCTCATAGTTAGCTTTAGTATCTTTGTTTGTTAGTGGCAATGATGACTGAGGACACAAGAGAAGTTGGAATCTGATAGTGCAGCTTGCTATGGTGAAGGCCTGAACTCATGTATTACACCTGAAGAGTGATATTCTGCTGTTGTATTTCATGGTCAAAATTACCGCCTATAAAGCTATTGCCTATAAAGTGGACATACGACAATTACTTTGGTTTTTAAAGTATTTATTTCAAGCTGTTTTGCTGTTAATTTTGTGTTGCTCTTATTGTTAAAAGTGCAAGAAGAAAGGAGAAATCCTTCAGCCTCTGGCAGCATAACCTTGCACTGGTTAAGAGAACGTAGATGCACCTCTACTTGCACAACATACTACAAATGCAATGAAGTAGCATCTGTATTTACAAATGCGTAGCAAAACATTGCATACTTCAAAAGTATGCAAGAATCATGACCAAACCTCCTAAAGATGAGGCTGGAAGTATTATGAAGCATTCTTCCAAATGTATTCTGTTAATAATATTTGGTTGCACAATTCAGGTCTCTGTGTTCATTGGATTCGGGTACAGTCTGAACATTTTTACATCAAAACCGTCTCCTGAAATGCACATCTTTGTGATGACGCTAAAAGCCAGTCTAACCATTCTTCAGTGGAGATGATAGATTAAATTACATTCATGAAGGTTGTCAATGATTGTAGTTCCTAATCTTTAGTGCCTGATTGCTGTAACAAAATCTGTAGTCTAAAATGAAGTACAGAGGATCTGTGTACCGTAAGAGGGAGTACCTCAAATCTATGACAGGAGATGTGTTAAATGGGAAGTGATGTTAGGTCGTTACTGTGAAATGCTGAGGACCGGGTTAGTCTTAAAATTCTAGGGATTTGTTACCTTAACCCAGATTGAAGGTGGTAAATTTTCCTGAACAATCCGTTTGAATGAGGTATCAGAGATCTTTCAGGAAATGGGTAGGGTGAATACTTTATTTCAGAAGACATCTGGAAGTGGTTGTGCTGTTGAACTGCTTTATTGCTCTGTGCTCAGAGTTGTCATTCTAAATGTAGAAACTTGGGCTGAATGCCACCTGCCCCTCCCCCCCTTTTTTTTTCCCCAGGGCTTTACACCCAGCTATCTGAAAAGGGTGACACAGTTTCTAGTATCAATTCCAGGTAATGTTCTCTCAGGAGAATGACCTGAAATGGGTAGCACATGTGCTACACACAGTATGTCAATTCTTGCAAAAACAAACATGAAGTGGTATCAGGTGAATGTACACCTTCATTTGCAGCTCTGGCCTATCAGGAGCGCGAAACCTTTATTTTAATTGCCCACATCTTCTGCAGTTGATGCCAAACCCCACTGGCCCTCATCTCCTTCCACAAGCATTCCTCCACACTGTGCAGCTGGGAAACCAGCTTGGGCTTTTGCTGTGCCTAGCTGCAGAATTCTCTGCCAATTTCTGATGAGGAGCCACACCTGGGCCACCTTTTACCTTTCCATTCACAGTTGCTCTGTTTTCTTCCCAGTCTAGATCATGTTCTGAAATTCAAGCTACAGTTGAAGAACTGTATTATTCCTTTAGTGAGTGGGAATAAATAATCCAGTTGTGTGAACAGGAGAATCATGACTATATTTCTAATTTTTTTTTTAAAGATTATGATTTTGTTTTATATCTGCTGTATTGCTAAAAAAATACATTTTTGGCACCAGCAGCATGGGAATTGAATGTGAGAGACCGTAAAGTTTCAATCCTTCCGTCAGCTCAATGCTCAGAAGTGTTAATAGTAATTAAAAACTTTTTTCCCTCAAAATACATTTCACACTTTGTACATACTGAGAAATCTCTCTCACCATGGGAACTTTCAGGTCACTTGTTTCCTGCAAAAACAGGTACAGTTTTCTTTTGTCAGAATAGAACAAAGACATAAGGAAGTGCAGGTTTCATTTACTCCTAGGACACTGCAGTCTATTAAGTGCCAGTGAACTAATGAGCCTCTCAGACCTTATGTTGTTCTGGCTTGGATCAAGGCTTCATTTTCCTTAACCCTTAAGAAACTAGCTGACTCACAGGTTGGTACTGTTGTGCTCTCCTATGCCTCCTTTTCTCCCAGGATATTGCTTCTCCTGACCAAATTGGAACATTATATAGCTTGGGTGTGAAGCTAGGTGAGAAATCTACAAAGAGCTTCTTATCAGTAAAATAGGAGAGAGTGCATTATAAATATGGTGAGGAAAAAGTCAGAACAACAGGCTGGTCTGCAGCCCCTCAAAGTAGAACAGAGCACAAATACATCTTATCTTGTTGCAACTATACTGTGCTTTTTGGCATATTATTTCTTGGCAAGTGAGAGATCATTGTTGTACCTACCACAGCCAAAAATACCTCTGTTACTTTCATTTCTAACCATAAAGACTTCCAGGAAGTTCCTTCATTGGCTAAATTTCACATTAGAAAAATCTGTGTGGGCTCTGGTATACCCAAAACCAAGACCATATTGAGATTACAAGCAAGAAAGGAACAAAACCAAACAAGAATTAAACAAAAATAGTCTTTTAGATTTTTATTTCAAACAGGGAACAGCATTTATGCAAATGTTCCCATCTGCAATTAATTACTTCTGTGACCAAAGTAGAAGAGAAAAAGGGTAACACAAAAGATAATGTATGAAGCCAACAGACCAAAGACTTGGGCATTGGAAAAACCTGGCACTGATTGCTGCAACTGCATGGTCACATTCATTATTCATCTTAAAAATGGGTTTTGCCCAAGCTTTTGGGGAAGTAATCGCAAAGATATTTGCCAGGCTTGGGACAATAGTATCCATCCAGTGGAGAAGATGCATTCTTCTAGAGTAAAATTTAGAATGTGTTGTCTGTTGGGATATTAGAGATTTGATGGATAAAGATAACTTTACAAATGTAACTGTTGCCCTCTAACATAACAGCGCATAGCAATTGTGACAAAAAAAGTCACCAGTATCTGAAATACAGAATCTCTCTGATGGACAGATAGATCCGTAAAAGTCATGGTATACTGGGAATCATCGTTCCAGTATAATTCTAATGGTCCTCTCTCAGAATCAGTTGTTGAGTTAGTGCTATTACTATTATTTTTGATAATTTGAAAATGAACATGAAACAACTGCTGCAAAAATTGTGTAGATAACAAAAGAAATAGCGGACAGTCAGTTCTGAAGAGGAATCCAGGTTGCTAGCCTTACTGCTAGGATGGCATTTAAGTGTATTTGTTTATGGGCAGAGGAACACTAGACCTACTTTCATGTCAGAAGCCTGTCTTTTAGAAGGTTTGAAAGGGAATTCAGGGGTACAGGACTCTTTTCAATGGAGTATGATCTCCTAGTCTGATTTAGTGACAAAGACAGCGTGACCCCTATTAATAAGATTTTAAAAACAGATTCTGTATCCTCAGGAATGACAGTATGAACTTCAGGGGCATTTATCATGATCCTCTGCTTTTCAACAGTTTATTTTTGTGAAAGAAGGGATATCCTTCTAAACACCGCGCTTGGAAATCATGGAAATGTACTGTCTCAGTTAATATTACTTCACATGCCAATACAGAAGGAAAACCAAACCTGTTCTTACTGATGAGGAAGTGTTTCCAGAAGCATAAAGAATAAGGCACTTAAACATTTTCCGTTAACTATTCTTTCAGAGCATCTGCTTTCGAAGGTTGCTCCTCTTCCAATTTCAGTTTGTTTTCTGCTGTAATTCCTAGAATTGCTTTGATACCTTGAATTGCCATCTGTAACGGATTCAAGGAATACAAGTTATTTAATGGGCATTATAATGAAATCTAGCAGCCAAAATGCACAGCTGGTAGTACTTGCCTTGAAAAGGTAACCAGTGTTACACAGGACATGATGCACCAATTAAATTTACTATTACTTTGGGGACAGTTGGGGAAAT